CAAGATCGTTCAAAACGAATACTACGGCTACCCCATTGAATGGTTCCCCTCTGTGTCTGCGACCATTGGTGACCGATATCCCGAGCGGTCCTTTTTCCAGGTCTTCATTGCTATCACTTCCGGCCCTCGATTCGCTCTCGTCTTCCTATGGTACATCCTCACTGCGCGTCCAAACTCGACCTTACCTAAGTTGGTTGCCGGCGTGGGCATCTTCCGGACATTGACATGCGGTGGCTGGACCTATGTCACGTCTACCGATGACCACGACTGGCATGACATCTTCATGATCTCGTACTTGGTGGCCACCTTGCCGTGGACCCTGGGTTGCCTTGCGCTCAGCCCGAACAACCGTCGTGCCGTCAAGTACCGCAAAATCATGGCCAGCTTGTTCTTTGGAACTTTGGTTCCGTTGGTCTACTATTTCATCCAACACAAGGTCCACAAGGTTCCTGGTGGTGAGTACTTGCCCTTATAAGCATTCAACTGAGAGTTACCGCATGCTAATCAGTCAAACCTTCATAGCCTACACCAAGTATGCGTTCTTTGAATGGTCCCTAATCTTGTTCGATGTCGGTTTTGATGCTATCACAGCTCTTGACTTTGAGAGCTTCGAATTAGTGGTGAGAGATGTTAAGGGTGTTAGCAGAGGGTATGTACCGTGGCTTCCGAAATGACACTGCCCACAGCAAATGTATAGTGCCAAAGGCTACATTGGTTTTCACAAAAGAAAACATTGTCTAAGTTTGTGCTCGTTAGGCAATTGAAAACGACTGCGGATTCTATTTTGGAAAAAGAGTGTGTACAATTCCATAACGAACTACAACCATCCAGGAAATTAACCACGTACGTAGGAAGGGCAAGCCAGTGGGCAACACCTTTGGCGAGGGCTTCTTCTGGACCGAGATTATTGATGCTGTCTCGGATGTCTACAATGGGGTAAATTATACCAGTCGACCATTGGCCTACTGCATTACTGACAATGGACTCTAGTTTGTGTTCTGGACCATCGTGACTGCTCTGCCTGTCCTTGTCTGGTGTAAGTGAAACCTATTACCTGGTACGGATGGCCATTGCTGATCTTGATAGACTTCCCTCTGTGGCACATGGGTATCTCTGGCTATGAGGTTGCTATTGTTTGCTGCACATCCCCACTGTTATACATCATCCCATCCCTGCGATATGTAGCCGCGAAGAACCTCCGCCTTCTCCACCTGGCTTCGCTCGCTGGTCTTCTTGCATACAAGTTCCAGAATCCTGCCCACCGTCTCTTTGTGACTGGGTTCGCTCTTTCTGCTACTTGTGCAGCATGGACCGCTAGCTTCTTTTCCGAGAGGGCCAATGCTCCTCGTCTCGAAGCCCGTATCATGGCGTGGGGGATCGGTCTGATCATGTCCGTCGTCGCCAAGTTCGCATGCAAGACCAACAACCCCCTTTGGCCGATTATGCACGCCGAGAATGGTGGCTGGAACAAGATTGGACTCTTCCTTGCTCTGTTCGCTGTTTTGAGGTCCCAGAGAGGCTCAAATACGAGCGGGGGTGATTATTTGCCAGCGGGTGGCAAGAAGGGCTCGTCCATCCTTGCTGCTGTCGGATTTGGTGGTCTGATGTTCGCCATCGTGTCGCTTTTGACCGACTCGAGTACCATGATCTCCTGGGTCTGGGATGGATACCCAGTGCGCGGACCGATCGCAGCTCCTCACGGTGCTCTGACGATCTTCGCAATGGGAGCCGGCCTTGTGTACGGCATCTTCCACCCCGGAGTCGCTGGAAGCTGGACTGCCTTCGGTGTCGGTTCCATTGGTGCTGCTCTTCTTACTTGCTACCACCACTGGACCGGATTCTATGGCGCCCTAGTTCTTGCGTTCTATATCATGGCCGTTGCCCCGGTTCTTATTGGATCCAGTGTTCGTCACTCACCCGCGAGCACATTCGGCATCGGTTTCATCGTTTACGTGGCCCTTCTGCTCTTCCACGTTTGGGTTGTCGCCTATGCCTTCGTCCCAGGTGGGCCGTTGCTTCGTGAGCACACTGACTGGCTCATGACCACCACAATGCTGTGCATTGGTGCGGGTGTCTTCTCTGCCGCGACCTCAAACTCAACTCGTTCCCGCAAGCCTCACAAGCCCGTCAACCCTAACAGCAGGAAACAGCGATCGTACTATATCTACGTTCTTGCTGTACTGCAACTGCTTTCCGTGGCTATCGCTTACCTCCGCTTCCCTACCAATGACTACACCCCTCATCACAAGGAGGATAAGGTTGTGACTGCTGGTATCTGGACTGTCCACTTCGGCCTCGACAACAACATGTGGTCATCTGAGCGCCGCATGCGCGACGTCATTGGTGAGCTTGAGCTAGATGTCATTGGTTTCCTTGAATCCGACAACCAGCGTATCATCATGGGCAACAGGGACGTCACCCAGTACATCGCTGAGGACCTTGGCTACTACGCTGACTTCGGCCCCGGTCCAAACAAGCACACCTGGGGTTCCGCCTTGCTGTCTAAGTTCCCCATCGTCAACTCTACCCACCACCTTCTCCCCTCGCCTGTTGGTGAGCTAGCACCTGCAATCCACGCCACCCTCGATATGTACGGCGAGATGGTTGATGTTGTTGTGTTCCACTCCGGACAGGAAGAGGACCCCGAGGACCGCCGCTTGCAGAGTGAGTATCTGTCAAAGCTGATGGGCGACTCCCCGCGTCCTCTGATCCTATTGAGTTACCTCGTCACCAAGCCGCTCGAGGGTAACTACAACACCTACGTGAGCGAGCGTAGTCAAATGAAGGATATTGATCCTACCGACTGGGATAGATGGTGCGAGTACCTTCTCTTCAAGAAGCTGCACCGCACTGGTTACGCCAGAATCAGTCGTGATACCATCACGGATACTGAGATCCAGGTATGTAATATTGTTTCTCCATTTCTTCTCCCACACGTGTACTGACTGTTTTGTGATCTAGGTTGGAAAGTTCGTCATTGGCGAGCCCGAACCCGAAAATGAGATGCGTATCCCAGAGGAGATGGTCCCTGTTGGCCGTCGTTTCCCTGCCTTGTTCCGCGGCCAGGGAGTGCGCGGACACCGCTACCACGTCTTTGACGAGCCCAGGTACTGGCAATAGATCGTCTGCCTGCGTGAGGAGCGTGAATATGCTTTGCGCAAAAGTTCGTATAAGAAGATTGAAATTTTATGAGTCTGCTATATCGTCACATAATTACGAAAGTGGACAAGGCAGACATCCCACTATCCTTGGAGCTGCCGATACCTAGCCAACTTGCGTGATGAGAGTATTTGTTAATCGCTTTCCTATTCTACTGTGTTTACTTTTGACTTGTGCATACTCGTGCATCGCATGACCCGAAAGACCAAAGTATTAATGATTTATTGCGTCCCGATCCTCTGATATTCTTCTCAAAGAATAGCCGGTCATCTGTATATTCTCCCAATCTTCTTTCAGTACTCCGTAGTTCAGGCCATTTTGTTCTGATATAGTTTCAATTGTAATGTGGGAATCTGACCAGCAACCAATTCGACAGATCCATGAGACACCCCCAACACTGGGATATTCCTCTTTGTATCATGATTCTGGAAATGTACAAGCCATGCCAAACTCTAAGGCCTGTAAGCCGGCGCTTTCGTCGCCACCTGGATCTTGACTTTGAGATATCCTTTGTCCTGTGCTGAGAGGCGTCCGCTAATAATAGCCCTGGCCACGATGAAAGACGGATTGAATTCAACCACACAGCCAGTTCAATCCAAGATGGAAGTTAGCTCGCATTTTTCCGATCTGCTTTTCCTCCATGGACACACGGACTCATCTGTCAAAGCTCTTTGTACCGTTCCAGTCGAATTCTAGTGTCGGATTCAGACTGGAAAATATGTTTCGCTTTGTTTTGGCACTTTCGTGGTAGGAAAAGAGGGGGGCCATTGCCAAATCTGGACGCTGGGTTTAATATTACCTGCTCAGCTTTTGCTTAAGCAAGCCCTAACCTGGCCGCTTGCAATTGCCTAGTCTCCAGTTTGCCGAGGTAAGCGTGTCAAACTTGATAGGATGTTAATCTCTTGGATTTCAAATAATACTCCGTGTAAAAGTCTAGACTAGTTTACAGTAAATGAGGTGAAAGAGAAGGGGGTGGATTTGACAAGATCAGGAATACCACCTGGCTTAGACCCATCATCTAGTCTCAAAAGCGAGATAGTCTACTTCTGGAACGGAATCATGGTCCGAGAATTACTCTCATTCTCTTTGATGCTGGTCATTTTCAAATTAGACATTGATTTTGAGCACTGCTTTGGTTCCTATGGCTCCTGTCCTTGTTCATTGTTTTACATGCGCTGTTCGTAGTATGATGATACTCTTGTTTTTCTTCCTTCTTTGAGCTGCCCGGTTGCGGTACCTTAGAATCTTAAACTGTTCCACTGGGTCTTCTTTGTTCCTTTCTCACAGGCTAGTGTGATCTTCTACAATCCCTCGGAACTCTGGGTTGGGCGAATGCCCACACCGTGAGTAGCCTTGACAACCTATATACACCTACTGTAATACAGCGGCTAACAAGCCTGATTATTTGAGCTAGACTCATTTCCAATTTGCAATAAGTGGAACTTTGTACCAAGATTGACCTAAAACGTTCTTTGTCAAGACCTCGGTGTATCTGCAATAAGGTGGACCTGGTCAACAAAGAAAAGGCCCCGAAAAGATATTTTTAATTCTCTTTGTATGGGTGGATATCTGCATGTTTCTTCGATTCTCTCTGCTCGGGCTTTGTCTGCTAATAGAAATAGGTGATCAGTCTGTCCTCTATTAATAAAGAGTCAGCATGTCCAAATTCATATTCGACCACGAACACAACCACAACTCCCTTGCCTTGAATATTCAATCATCAGATTGATCATATTATAGCAACAGCAACTGATAGTAAGTATGGTCCTCGTGTTATCATTTACACATTCACCAGCTAACAAATCAAACCAGACCAGAAGACCATCAATCAACTTGGAAAGATGGTTGCAACACGACGAATGGGTGGGGGCACCAACCCAAAGACCCAGCCTAAGCCGGCTGTGTCCTCCAAGGCTGAAAAAGCCGCCAAAGCCGCCAAAGTAAAGGCTGAGAAGGAGGCAAAGAAGGCCGAGAGGGCTGCAGCAAAGGCTGTAAATGATGCAAAGAAGGCCGCAATCAAGGCCCAGAAAGATGCAGAAAAGGCTGCAGTGAAGGCCCAGAAGGATGCAGAGAAAGTCAAAGCGAAAGCTGCCAGTACCAAAAGCAGCACAAAGCGAAAACCTGCTTCGAAGACTAAAGCTGCCAAAGTTACCAAAGTCGCCAAACCTGCCAAATCTGCCAAAACTTCCAAAAAGGCGAAAGCCACAAAGAGCAGAGGTAGAACAGTTGCAAACCAATATGATGAAGACGAGGATGAAGATAATGAAGAAGCTCATGACGAACCACCGGCCAAAAGGCGCAAGATTTCGACTCCACCCAAACCCCGTGTGGAAGTCGGCCCGCCCAAAGAAAAGCGTCCGGCTTTCCAAATCGGAAAATGGGAGTACACAATGAACACTTATCTCCCAGAAGGCTTGGAGAACGCAAAGAATAGACCTCTACCACACATCTATATCGGAGGCACAGCACCGCAGCCTCGCTGGGTGATCACTCAAAGTGAAAGCATACAGGTCCCTGTCAAACGACCATATACCACAAATGCCCGATCCAGTAGCAGGGAGAGGAGAGATGTTGGAGGTTTGCAGTGGACCTTTGAAGAAGGGGACTTCAAGAAGTGGAGTGGGCTAGAATACCCAGCTCTTTACGAACTTGCGTACTTGCGCCTCGAGTATACACTCACCGATTCGGAGGTCCGAGAGGAGATCTATGATTCCCTAGCTCAGGGTTTGCCCAAGGAGGTGACCAAAGGGGACACATGGTACCCAGCTCTGCCGCCAATTCCCATCACAAGGCACTTTTTGGGAGGGTCCTCTGCGCAACCCAGCCGAAAATCAAGTGACACAGCCTTTTATTTCGGAAATTATGAGCGTCCAAACATGGCAGTCCAACCTCGTGATGTTCGATTTGCGCAGCTGTATCCCCAGGCTGTGGCTTCCAATCTTCTTAATCGACCGAATCTCGAGCCATGGCCGACTGCCTCGCGCTCTCCAAGTCCCGATTCGAAAAGCGAACCGGGTAACGAGGATGGCAGTGATCAGAGTCAGCCAGTCGAGCCTTACCTGGAACGGAATCCAGAGGAAGCTTTCTCCGAACCGACAGCAGCTATTAATGAGGGCATTACGGACGACGAAGATAGTCTGGCAGGCAGATCTAGGGGGTCGTCTGTTTCTGAGGCGCCGGACCTGGAACCAATTGATGAGGACACTTATTCGGAACCGACAACGCCTGTTTCTCTTGGAGACAATGAGCATGCACGACTTGGTGAGTACAAATGTGCTAGTCTGGCGTGATTTTCTCATTCCCTGCATGTTTCTTTGCCATTTCCAGGCACGCTGGAGACTGATTGGCAATACGCTGACTGATCGGCCCCAGATACAATGTCGCAAGATGGTTCAATCTTTGGCGACGACAAATATGATGCCGCTCAGGTCAAGCCCAGCTCAGATCAGGACTCTCGAGAACAATCGCCTAACAGCCTTCACTCTGGACCCGGCTCTGATAGCGAGGTCAGCGCTTCTTCCAAGACCAGTGGGCCTAGCATGGTCAACGCCGCTGACGATAATAGCGCCCAATCGACGAATAGCCTATCCCCGGTATCCCATGATGGGCTCTTCAGCCCTGAAGAGATTGAGAGGTACTATAGCGAGAGGAACAGAGTTTGTAAGTAAACTTCTCAGTGTGGTATCCACAACTGCTTGGTTATCCCTCGCCCTAGTCAATGATCCTAATGTTTGTTTCAAGTTGAGCAGGCAAGGTTAGGCGGAATTGAACATCAGGAAGCGCCAGAAGTAAAGAGCCAAGCACGGCCGTCACCAGATCCTGGGAGTATGTCGGGGAAGCCACTGAGAGTCGTAACGGAGAGAGCGAAGGTCAAAACGGGAGCGCCCGTAGAGTCAAATAAACGAAATCGAATGGAGTCGCCATCAACACCATCAATACCATCACCACCCACGAGTCGAAGGAAGACGGCGAGTGAGATCAAGGTTGACAAAGTTACGGCACTCGCAGAAGCAGCCCAAAATCAACGGGCTGAAATGCGAGCCGCTGCAGCAGAGAAAGTATCAGACAAGCCGCCGGTACCACTGTTGAAGAAGACGCAAAACTGGACAGGTGCAAGATCACAGGCGCGTGCACCTAGTCCTGAAATTCTGCCTAATCTGCAAGATAGGTTCTTGGAAGAGACCAAGAGGTATCTCGTTGACCCAACTCAGAGAGCCAGACATTTCCCTGACCCTATTGCTGTCCGCCGTGTTAGAGTGTGGGCAGGGGAGGAAATGGCGAGCCATGAGATCAAACCCACAGTCGACGCTACGCTTGCCCCTTGGGCTGAAAGGCATCGGCCTTTCAGTCAATGGCAAGTTCCGGTAAGTGTCTCATACATTGACCTTTTTTAGAATCATGCTGATTATAATCGATTAGACTGGGATAACCCCCGGGCCTGCGGCGCGTGCTAAGGTCTCAAGACCGAGAAAAAGGAGCAAGGGACAAAGTAAGAGAAGGCCAAGACCAGCATCTGCAAAGGAGCAGTCAGTCAGTTCAGCCCGGTGGTCATCGTTTAGATAATTATGTTGTATATTTCTGTAGTTTTGTGGTCGGGTTTGGGGTGTTCGTATTGTTGGATGGTCATTTAATGTCCAAACTATTGGTTTTGGGTAATTTATGTATGGTCCAATCAATGGTATTCAAGACTCTGTCTCCCAGTATCTGTCCACGTTGTAATTTAACGTATTTCACTACCGTGGCAATCTGCCAACATAAAATGCGCAGCCACAGCAGGTCCAAAGCACCAGTCCTTAGTGCCGTCCGTTTTGATAGGAATGCCTCCCCATTGTTGGGCACCCTCACCGAGCATATGGCCGGAGCGAGAGATGCAACCCACGGTATGCCGCATGCTAATGCTATGACCGACTTGTCGTTCCCCTCCACTGTGACCTCTGCCCCCATCTTCACCACATCTATCTCCACCATCTGCAGGCTATTGCGGACAAGGTTTCTTTGCGTAATGCTCGGCAGATGTTTGATCGCAGAACTCGATATATGAACATTCAAGTTCTTACCTGGGGCCTATAAAACAGCTTCACGCTGCCTGCATGATGCAGTGCAAAATGAGATATACAATATGGGGCTAGACGAGTCGCTCCGCCCGTTAGGGTCCAAACCCATCGAAGGTGTGTTTTGCAAAAAGGAGGCCGACGAGGCGTATGGTTCTGCGCAACCTGTTCGTCATGAAGGTTTATTTAGTACATGTTATTTATTTTCCATGCTATTTGTTTGCCATACTTTATTTCTTACTTTATGTTGTCTCTTGAGCGGATTGACATCTGTTTAAAATCAAACATGGGGCTGGGATTAGCTGGACAGAGGCAACCATGATAGGCTCGTACGGAGGTTATTTTTGATTTGGCACACACTCGGAAGGAAAAACTTGACACTAAGCACTATATGATTCTACCTAGGTAGGTTCCTCTATATACATAGACGGTTTTTCAAGATTACTTATAATCCTTCCTCCGGTATTCCGGGTATGCCAGTGCTTCCTACACCAACATTTAACTAGAGTTATGTATATATTCGGAATTTGGGATATCTATGCCTTTTCTATTTGTGTTATTTATTTCACTTTTAGCGATTCATATACTTTCACTGGACCGTTATCATTATTCTGGTCATCATTCACTAGGTTCTTAAGGAATTATGCTGGAGGGAGGCATGTTGTTAAACGTAGTTGCGTAAACAAGAGGTTGGACCTCGTAAATCTTGACCTTGGAAGAGATAATTCACGTTGCCACATAATATGATATTATCGCGAGGCAACGCTTCGTTGTATGGTACTCAAATAAGTGACAGAAATCAATGTAAAAGACAAGCGATATCCACAGCTACGTAAATGAAAAGTAAAAATCCTATTGAGGTGCAAGTAATTGAGTGAATCTATAGTTCTACGACATTTATATTGATAGACGTCACGTGCAAACCGAACAAACAGCTCTCCCGTCGTCGGGTATCTCCAGATGTCTCGTCTTTGTTCGCGAAGGTCGGATCAATTTGACACCCTGGGATAATGGATCAAGCTTGGAATTGACCAAATACCTCGAGGCATATAGCTGCATTGATCGTGATCGATCTGTCCTCGCTGGCCTAGAACAATCACGGCTGCTAGGTTTGCCGGGAGTAACGGCAGACTCTCACGATGTTCACTTTCACTCCCCTCCTTGGCGCCCAGGCGTCATTTTCTAGGGCATCGCAGTCTATATTGGAGCTTGATGGAGGCATCAAGATCTTAGTGGATGTTGGTTGGGATGATAAGTTCAATACCCTTGATTTAGCGGAACTTGAGAAGTGAGCATGCGATCAACGCGTTTACTTTGAATCTAGATGAGCTAACATTATCGTCAGGCATATTCCTACACTTTCCCTCATTCTCCTGACGCACGCGACGCCGTCACATATCGGCGCTCTAGTCCATTGCTGCCGAACATTCCCCCTCTTCACGCAAATCCCAATCTATGCAACGAATCCCGTCATCGCTTTCGGCCGTACGCTCCTACAAGATCTTTACGCCTCCGCTCCGCTTGCTGCCACATTCCTACCAAAGGCTTCTGTTTCAGAGCCAGGCGCATCGTCAGCAGGATCTACGACTGTGTCAGGCGGAGATAACGAAGGCACCGGCAGCACAAACCGAATACTTCTTCAATCGCCAACAGCGGAGGAAATTTCTCGATACTTCTCTCTCATCCAGCCACTCAAATATTCCCAACCGCACCAACCGCTCCCATCTCCTTTCTCCCCACCGCTGAACGGGCTCACCCTCACGGCCTACAATGCCGGTCACACCGTCGGTGGAACGATATGGCATATTCAGCATGGGCTGGAATCTATTGTCTATGCAGTGGATTGGAACCAAGCTCGTGAGAGCGTTGTCGCGGGTGCTGCGTGGTTCGGCGGATCTGGTGCTAGTGGAGCAGAAGTCATTGAACAGTTGCGGAAACCCACAGCCTTGATCTGTAGTACAAAGGGAGGCGATAAGCTAGCACCTTCGGGGGGTCGGAAAAAGCGAGATGACCTTCTTCTCGACATGATCCGAAGTAGCCTTGCGAAAGGTGGAACAGTTCTCATCCCAACAGACACAAGTGCGCGAGTTCTTGAATTGGCCTACGCACTAGAACATTCTTGGCGCGATGCCGCGAATGGTGAAAAAGAGGATGTTCTTCAAGGAGCAGGTTTGTATTTGGCTGGCAAGAAGGTTACGAACACAATCCGACTCGCCCGAAGCATGCTGGAGTGGATGGACGAGAACATCGTCCGCGAATTTGAAGCGGCGGAAAGCACAGATGTCACAAATGGACAAAGGACGGGTACACAGGAGAAGAGCTCCAACAAAGGTGGGGGTCCATTCACTTTCAAACACCTCAAAATCATCGAGCGCAAGAAGCGACTTGAGAAGCTTCTTTCAGAACCCGGGCCGAAAGTAATTCTTGCATCCGATACCTCATTGGACTGGGGCTTCTCAAAGGATGCGCTCCGACAAGTTGCCGAAGGACCCAACAATCTTTTGTTGCTGACAGAGTCCTTCCGTGAGGACATGAAGACCCAGGAGTTGAAACCATCACAGAGTTCACCAACAATTGGAAGCATGATCTGGCAGTGGTATGAGGAACGCAGAGACGGTGTGGCTCTAGAGAAAGGATCGGATGGCGATCACATCGAACAAGTCCACAGCGGCGGACGAGAATTGTCCTGGACAGATGTACAGCGAGCCCCTCTCGATACCGGGGACCAGTTAATATACCAGCAGTATCTCGCTACCAAGCGCCAACTTCAGGACACATCTCAAACACTTGGCCAAGAAACCCTCGAAACCGCCGTGGATGCCCTTGATGATGGATCGAGCTCTACCTCCTCTGAAGACTCAGATCCTGAACAGCAGGGTCGCGCGCTGAACTTCTCGGCCTCACTTGCACACGCTACTCGAAGCAAACTTGCCGTCAGCGATGAAGACCTTGGCATCAACATCCTTCTTCGTCGAAAGAATGTCTATGATTACGATGTGCGTGGCAAGAAGGGCCGCGAGCGCATGTTCCCTTACGTGGCGCCGAGAAAGAAGGGAGACGAATATGGAGAATTCATTCGCCCAGAGGAGTATCTCCGAGCCGAAGAACGCGAAGAGATTGATATGCAACAACGGCGTACCGATGCCGAAACTAAACTTGGCCAAAAACGACGATGGGATGACACCGCCGGGCCCCATGGACGCAAGTTGTCTGGCGGCGCAGCAGGACGGAAGCGTCCTCACATTGATGGCAAGAAGATTGAAGATGATGATCTCAGCCTTGTCACAGATGGTGAAGATGCTGATGTAGCTGCTGAGTCCGAAGACGAAGCAGAAGGCCAGTCATTCGAAGGCCCTGCAAAGGTTGTTTACCATAACCAGACCATCACTATCAACGCTAGGATTGCGTTCATCGACTTCATGGGCTTGCACGATAAGCGCAGCTTGGAGATGTTGATTCCACTGATCCAACCTCAAAAGTTAATCCTGGTTGGTGGCATGAAGGAAGAGACATCAGCATTAGCAGCCGAATGCCAGAAACTGCTGACAGTCAAGCTTGGTGCTACGAGTCCTGACCCTTCGTTTGACTCGGCTGCCATTATATTCACTCCGGCGAACGGGGAAGTCATCGATGCAAGTGTCGATACAAATGCCTGGATGGTCAAGCTGAGCAACACGCTCGTCCGGCGCTTGAATTGGCAGCACGTCCGTAGCCTCGGCGTCGTTGCTCTCACGGCACAATTGCGAGGACCAGAGCCTGTCGCCGCTGAGGCCGGGGAAGTTGAAATATCAGGCAAGAAGGTGAAGCAACTGAAAGACGAAGCAGCCTCTTCCGCCGTCACCCCAACATTAGAACAAGCAGACACCAAAATAATCGACAAGGTGGAGACCTATCCGTTACTTGATACTCTCCCGGCTAGCATGGCCGCAGGTACCAGATCTATGGCCCGCCCTCTCCATGTGGGTGACTTGCGATTGGCTGATCTTCGCAAGCTGATGCAATCCGCTGGTCACACTGCCGAGTTCCGAGGCGAGGGAACGCTTCTCATTGACAAGTCTGTAGCTGTGCGCAAATCGGGAACGGGCAAGATCGAAATTGAAGCAACTGCGCAGTCTTCACTGGGTCGGCCAGGTGGCCGTGGAATAGGGAGCTTCCTTGCTGTCAAAAGGAAAATCTACGAGGGCCTGGCTGTCGTTGCAGGCAGCTAAGACTATATTCGTGGCATGTATTTCTATCTTTTCCCGGTGTATAACTTCATGGTTAACAAAGCATTCATGGCCACTTCTTTTATCCAAACACCAAGAGATTTATAACAAACAAGTTTTATTCTTCTAATAGTTTGCCCAAGTCAATATCACAGGTAGTATACTCTATTTAGAAACAATATTATCTATCATCAAAGCACAATTTTGGCCCGAAACCAAAATTACCCATTCGCAAAT